TCTCCACCCTTAACAGTTGTCCACTCTTTCAGGGAGAGGAGGAAAAAGCACCCCCTGTGGCGCAAAGGTCAAGGCGGTGTAAGGGTCTGGGGGAGAGTTCAGGAGGAGGAGCCTCCCGGGGGGTCGATTATACGAGGAAGCAGGGTCCCCGCCGAGCCTTCACGCTCACTACACGCCGGCGGATTCCCCCGACCTTCCAGTTTTCCTGCGTTGCGACTGGATCCCGCCTGGACCCAACTCAATCCCTTTGCTTGGGACGGGGGAACAGGCGCTTTAAGGGGGCAACACCTCAGGTCAAAGGGAAAAGAGCCTCTGTGCCTGCTCCGCCTCGCTGGCCCATCCCCCCTCCTTCCTTCCCCTCCTCCTCTCCTCGCCCCCTTCTCTTCCGCCCGGAGGGAAGGAGGGGGCGGGCTGTGTGTGTATGTATGTATGCATGTACGCGTGTGTGCGCGCGCGCGCGCGGGTGCAGTTCGTCTGTGTGTGCGTTCGGTGTGTGGCTGGGTGTGGGGTGCGTGTGCGCGGCGCACGTTTTAGCCCGAGTGCTTGGTGTGGAGTGTATTTGGTTTGCGCTCGGACATGGAGCATGTGTTTTGTGCGGTGTTTGTGTGTGCACGCTTCTAGGGTGTACGTTTCTGCCCGATTATGGTATGACTCTGTGGGTGCGATCCGGATGTGGGTGTGTTCGATGTATGGTTTCTGCCGGGGTTTGTGGCCGTGCTGTGGTGAGTGTGTAAATGTGTGCAGTGTGCATGTGTGTGTGCCTGTTGAACCTCACGTGCATATGTGTGTTTGGTGTGTGTTTACCCTTAGATGTGTTGTGCCAATGTGAGTTTATGGGTGGTGTTTGTTGGGGTGTATAGTGTGTGAGTGAGTTCATGAGCGAGATGTCTTTATGTGAGCCTACTTAAGGTGTGTGTTCAAAGGTTCATGTGCATGAAGGTGTGGGGTGTGTGTGTCTTTGGGTGTGATGTAGTCATGTGTGTGGCGGGGATGCATGTGGCTAGTGTATGTGCTCAGATGGAGGGTTGGAGACCGTGTGTATTTTGGAGTGGGGTTGCAGCCTGAGTGTATGGGTATGGTGTGTGAGAGAACAAGGTTGTCTAGAGAATCCAAGTGACTGTGTGCTTGGTGGGGTTTTTTTAAATTTAATTTAATTTTATTTTATTTAGTTGGGGGTGGGGGCGTTGCGCCAGGACTGGGACGAGGAAGGAGGTAGGGGTCCGCGATTCGGGCAGGGTCACCCGCAGGCCTGCCCTGTCCCGTCTGGGTCCGCCTGCCCCTGGCTGGTGCGAGCAAGGCCCGCTGGGGCAGGGCGTGAGCTTACCTGGCTGCTTAGAGGAAAGAAGAGGAGGGCGCGGCACGTGATTGGCCAGGTAGGGCGCCCAGGGGCGCGGTGCAGGGGCTGGTGGGAGTAAACTGGAGAGATTCTTGGTCATTCGCTCGACCCCCCTCCCCCCCCCCCCCCCCCCCCCCCGCCAGGATATCCCAGTCCTTGCTTAGCTGAGCCCAACTATTTGCTCAGGCCATTGCTGCTTCACACCTCCTTGGCTTTGTGTGGGCAGATCCAGTTGCCTGGAATCCCTTTCCCCCTGGGCCTCGTGACAAACTCCTACTTATTCTTTGTAAGACCTAACTTAAGAGTCACAAAACTTTCTCTGCCTTTCTGTACCCCTCCCTCCCAGTTGAGTGCTCCCTCCTTTGAGCCACCATAGTTACACTCTTCATACTTCTCATGACATGATCATACGTAACTGCAATTATTGGTCTCTCCTTTTAAACTCTGAGCTCCTGTAGAGAATGCCTGGTATAGTAAGAATAATGGTAGTGATCATCATAATAACGTTACCATTTATTAAGCACTTATTGTGCACCAGGCATTAGGCTAAGCGCTCTTACATGCATTACCTCCTTGAGACCTCACAATGACTGCGAGGTAGGTGGAGCTAGGATTATTGCTATTTTACACACCAAACATCAAGCTCAGAGAAGTAACTTCCCCAAGATCACACAGCCAGAGGGAGGTGGAGCTGGTATTTAAATACAGGTTTGCTACGTTCCCCAAACCTTTCTTCTATATCAGGCAGCCTCACCAAGAGTCTCCTGATTCCTGCTAGGCATTGAAGTCTCTATCAAACAGTATCATTTCCCAACAAATCTTTCTTTTGAGTTTACTGACAGCACCAAGAGTGCTCAGCATAATTACTTTCTTTGTCTCTCAGACAGTTGATACCTTCTCCACCTAATTACCTGCTTTGTTGACACCTCAAAATCTTTAATTACTCTAGGCTCATAAGCACCTCACCAGCTCCAGTTCTGGGAGCTCTCCTTAGGCTGGTGCTGAAAGAAAGATCAGAGAATGAGCATTTTCTAGCCATAGGGTCAGGGGAATTGGGTTTGGAGAAGGATGGAGTGAGGGAAGCATTTCACAGCTCTCCCAGAACCGCTTTTACAACATTACTACCAGAAGTTGGTATGCAGTAGATTTCAAACAGGACAGGCATCTCCATATCAAGCTGCACATAGAAAAACAAGCAGATCCCCCCCAGAAAATATTCCTGAATGGCCCCATTTTGTATTATTCATGTTTGATGGGGAGCACTGTGCTTGCCTAATGGAGCTTATGCTGCTCTAATGCCTTCCAAGCAGCCTCATATGAGAAATCCAAATTAAAACAATACATTGCATTTGGGGGAACACATTTATGGGGGGTGTCAGGCCAGTCACGGCTTCCAGCTCAGCCCCCGGGGGACCAGCCTAGACTGCTGCAAAGAGGTCAGGGGGTGGATAGAGAGGGACAGTTGAACTGTGGTGAGTCACTTCACCACTTTTCAGGGGGGAAAGCGAGAAGCACGATTTAAATTGCTACTGTTATTATTGTGCCCTTTCAGCTGGCACAAATGAGCCTGGTGTGCGGAGGAAAAGCAGCTGGAACATCCATAAAGCTTCCCCCAAGCTGGGCCTGGGTCAGCACCCCATCCTGGGTGGGCAGGAAAAGCATTGCCTAAACTAATATGTAACCAGAAAGTCTCCTTTTGAAAAAGAAAAGGGGGGGGGAATAGAGAGGCCAATCTAAGTCACTCAAGGCCCATACGAGGAGTTCATGCAAACTCTGGTGTCTCCCAGCATCTAGTCTCAGGCATTTGGCTTTCCTGCTGCTGTGGGCCAGTCTGACACCTCCTCTGAATATACCGGCTTCACGTGCACGTCTCAAAGTCACTCCTGTGAGGCCTCTCCCTCTTTTAAGGTTCTCTTCCTTCCTCGCATCCCAACACACACACACACAAACACACACACACACTACTTGGAGCTTAAAATCCTCACTATACGTCTCTCTCTCTTTGGAGTTCGTAACATGAGGATTATATGGGGAATTGTAAAGGTGGAAAATGCTTTAATAAGCCCCATTACTCTCAAATGTAAACAACCTGTAGGGGCAAGGCACAAGTGTGAATTTTATTGAGGAGGGGGGGGGGGGTCTTGGTTTCCCCGTGAGAGTAAAGCCCTTTACAGATGAGAATCTTTGTCTTTTCCATGGGGGCAGAGGAGCTTTGGAGTGCGACAGGGTTGAGTTTATATCCCAGCTCCATCGCTTACTTGTTGTGTGATCTTGGGAAGGTTACTTCATCTCTCTGAATCTGTTTTTTCATCTGTAAATTGGAGATATTAACACCTGCCTTAGAAATGCTCAGATGACTGAAAGGGGTAGACTATGGAAAGCGCCAGCCAAATGCCTAACATGCACAGTAAACGTTCAAGAAAAGGTTAATTCCCTCTCTCGCTGTACTCCCCCCCATCATATACCCCAGAGTGTCTCAACCACTTTGTTCAGAGACTGAAGCCGCCTGACTGAGCTGCCAATTTTCCTCATTACTGATGTGTCTGACACTCTTGAAATAGTCCCTCTTCTTTTAGGACAATGTTTTGATCAGCCTAATGCAGCCCGGGAAGAACTGGACCCTTAGTCCAATTCTCACTCTGCAGTTTCTCCTGGCAGTGTTAATGAGACCAAGGTTTCAGTAGCAATACTCCATGTAGGAAAGTTTCAAACTACCTGCCCAGTGTCTAGACTCCCCCCCCCCCCCATCCCAGTTATGGCCTGAACTCCTCAACCCTCACTGCAGACCCAGTCCCCACTCTGTCTCCTAAATATGTGCCATGGTACTCAAGGGAATGACAGCATGACTCTTTCCTGGCTAAACTGCCCTCCAGGACTCCTGTTTTGTTTATCCACCACTACCCCAGAAATTAAAAAGCATTTCAAAGGCCACCCTTTCTCTAGCAGCCACCAAGGTTGGGAAGTAGATGGGGTGATAAGGAGAGATATGATGGGTATTTTTCTGAGATATACTTTGCAGCACACAAAATACAGTTCCAGTTAGTTGTTTATCTGTTCTCAGTTAAAGGAAAGTAAAATCTACCCTTTGCGGAAAATGGTAAAGGGAGAGAAGACCCCAATCTGTGCCCTTTCCTCCCTGGTTCTGTTGCCTCCCTCTAGAGACAAAAGCAAGTCACTACAAGCTAAAGCGGCATTTAAGCAGGAAGTGGTAGGGGAAGATTTAAAAAGTTGAATGTAGGGGATCGATATAATCCCAGAGAAGGATAAAGGGGCTACGGAGTAGAGAAGTATTGAGATTTGAGGCCGGAAAAAGCTCTGAGAGGCTGGGCTCCGGGCGTTCCCAGTCTCTGGAAGCTGCCTTCACCTTCTCCCTTCCCCTCACCCCTCTTATCCATCCTGCATGCTACCCCTCATTGACCCCCAGACTCCAGCATGCAACATTATCTCTTCGTGAGTCCCTCTGAGGATTTAGGAATTTAGAAAAACTTCTGGGGTAGGCAGTGCCTACCTATCTCTGCCTCTGAGGAGGCCCTGTAACCTCTGCGTGGAGGAGGGGAAGGGGAGGGGTAGCAATGAAGGGTCAGCCATATGGTACATCTGGTGAAGCAGGGGTTTAGAATAGGCCCCAGCCATTTAAGAAGCTTCCCTGAGTGCAGGGACCTACCGGTGGCTGGGTATTGGGTGCCCATCCCGAGGAAGCCGCGTGGTTTCTCAAGAGATGTATCTGAGATGTGACAGTAGCTGCCAAGGCTCATCAAACATGCCATCTACCTACTTCTGCTGATACATGCGAGAACAAATGATACTGCCAGAAGGAAACAGAAAGCATTTCCTAGTGACTCAGAGCCGCAGCGATGAGGACACAGGTGGTATTTGCACTGCATCTTCCAGTTGAAATGTGCACGTCTTCACAGAAAGGGATCTATAAGTAATCAAATAGATCAAAGACCAGAATTTGGACTCTGGGCAAGGGAACAGCATCAACATCATACTGACCACCCAGCAAGTGTCTGCTGTGTATCAGCACAGGGCTGGGAACTTTGCAAGTGTTCTCTCTTTTAATCTCACTCAAGCTTTGAACTCACACCAAACGGGGTCCGAATCCTTGCTCAGCCACTGTGCGGCAGTGGACAAGTTACTTAACTTCTCTGAGCTTTCGTGGTTTTTTTTTTTTTTTTGGTTCGTTTTTGAGCTTTTGTCTTCAAAATAATGATAATAATACTTACCTCAGAGAGTTGTAATGAATGTTAAATGAGATCATTTATGTAAAATGACTGGTCTGTAGTAAATATTTGGAGAAGGAACAAAGCACATCTTTTGATACCTGAGCCATAGAGGGTATTTAGTGTAATTGATATTACCATATGAATATGATTATTCTTATTTATAACCTGGAAATGTAGGCATTATTATATCATTTGAAGAGAGGTTAAATAACTTGCTCACAGCAACACTACAAAAGCAGGCCTGGGACTCAAACCAGTTTTGCTTCTTCCCACCCACTTTTAGAGGACACTTCATGGTCAGTAGGGAGACCACGTTTGGCTGACCTGATCTAGATCAGGTCATTACATTCAAACTAAAATTTGAAGGAAAAAAAAAGCCCTTAGATTAAACACTGCATAGTGGGATTCTAGGTCATAATCTGGACTATTTGCATATCATAGGCCCTGTATTAACCTTTCTAAAACATTTTTATATTACAAGAGTAATGTAAAAACAAACTTGATAAAGGTTTTAAGAAACAGAAATAACTATTATGGCACCCACTTAATAGAATCTCATACTTTACCTTGTTGCTGAATTTCCTTCCAGTCTTTCAAAAATGCATACTTGACACAATTGTAATCATACTATTTCCCAAATTGCTACATAGTCTTCATGAACACCATCTCTATGGCTGTAGACTAGTCTAACAAGTGGTACGTCATAGAGTCTGTTTAACTGTTCCGCTAGTGTGGGATGTTTAGGTTATCTTAGTAGATAAGTGTGAAGAAAGGAACAACGTTGCTTTCACCGTTGCCATACTCCCCCTCAGGGACCTGATGTCCTACTCTATCAACACCCAGAACGCTTTTTGTCATTTGATATTTAAGCTTAATGAATGTCAACTCTACTGCTGGAGCCTGAGGTACTTTTTGCAAGAGTATTATTTTCAGCCAGTCTTCATCACACAGATTCTGTATTTTAGCCTCATGGTGGGTAAAGTGTGGGCTAACCCAAGAACCTAAGCTCTGAAAAATAATCCTGTTACAGCTCAACCAGGCCTGGTCTTAGCAAATTGGTTGGGTCCTGTCTCCAAGAAAAGATCAAATTTGTATGTAAAGTGGGCCCCAGGGTCCCTTCAGCTTTAGAGTTTTGGCCGCTTTACAGAAGTCCAACTGTCTGAGGCTAAATCCAATGCCAAAAACGAACTGGAAGAGAGAATTTCAAGTGGGTCAATTGTGCTGTCCCTTTCCCTGGGAAAGAAGGCCTTTCTGGGCCACCATTCTTCCCAGATCTCAGTGATGCCTCGGCCAGATGTCTTCATATGGTTGTCCGTTGTCCACTGCTACCCTCAAAAGATTACTCTGACATACCAACTATCTCCTGGGAAAGCGGGGGTTGGTGGGTTAAAGAACATTTAGAGTACTTCCCCCACTCTTTCCATTCAGTGGCCAGCTACTCCCCCCCACTTCTGACTCCAGAGGATTTCTGGAAGACATCCGAAGGGAGGCACCCAGGGCAATTATAACCCTACGGAGTACCAACAGTCACACTTCGTGCTGCATGGCATTTGTCAGGAGGAATGCAATGAATGGGTTCTTACCTGGTCAAAAAACTGTAGCCAGAGACTGATTGCGAATTGCAGAGTGATGTCGTGTGACTTAAATGAGATTATACACATACAAGACTGAGGCTAGCGCCCAGCATCTGGGAAGCGTGTCACAGATCCCGGCTGCTCTTGGGTGAGTAATAGAGCTGCTGTAGGCAGTGGTGTGCCAATGGCATATATGGGGGGACAGGTCCTACCAGACTGGAAATTCAGTAGCGAATCTAAAATCTTGCACTTGGGGTCAAACACCAACTAAATACAGAATGGAGCCTCTGAAAAGAACTTGGGTTTACTTTTTTTTTTTTTTTAAAGGAAGCTTCAGTCGAAAGTACTTCCAATATAAATAAACTACTTGTGTGAACTGTGTGGCATGTACGTGGGATTTGTGTGTAGGATGTGCCTGCGTGGTGTGGGCATATTGTACCGTGTGTGAAAAGCACGCGATGCGTGTGAGGCATGTGTGTTTGTGCATTCGTGATTTGTATGTGGGCATGTGTGGGTGTGGGAATGTGTACGTACGTGTGTATTTATGGCTACGTATCTGTATACCATGAGTGTAATGTACGCTTCCAAAAGAGGGAAAGTCAGCCATCCAGGACTATATTTACGGGGGCACAGCTGGAAATCCTCTTTTGGCTAGGTCACTAAGCATTCACAACTTGGAGTGTGTTCAAAGAAGAGCAGCTAGTTGCGGGTAGGAGCCTTGCGGCCATGTCACATGTTAAACAGATGAAGGAACTGGGGGGGGGCTGGGCCTGGATAAGAACAGGGGTGAGTGGGGGTGGGGGAATGGGGAGGGCTGGTGCTATTCCCTTGGAAGGATCATGAAGGTCAGTGCTGGGGCCAGAAGGACATAGATTTGGGTTCGGTTTAAGGAAAAGCCTTCAAATTCTAATAGACAAGGGTGTCATTAGATGGGGATGGGCTTCCTTGTGTGATATTAACCCCCTCCCAATGGGGTTATTCATAAAGGAACCATCTTATCCTTGATCTCACTGGAGTCACAGGACAACCTTGTAGGCCAGGTAAGCGTGGAATGGTTCCCCCTACCCCTTTTTGAGGATGAGGTGCCTGAGCCATAAGGCCTTAAAAGGCATTTATATAAAACTCCCTCCCCCCCCTTTTTTTTTGATTTACCAGGATCACATAAGCCTGAAAGAACGTACAGAACAAAAAGTTAAACTTTCTGTGTGTATGCAGATCTCTTTCCTTCTCAGAGATCTTGTGGCTTGCCAGAGATTGTACTTGAATTTGCTAAGCAAGATGTAGCCCCTTAGCAATACCTTGGACTCCTGGGATGGTTCTCAGCAGGGTGCTGAGGCTGACAAGAACTAAAAACAAGTTTTTGCTGAAATAAGTTGCTGAGGCCCACCTTCTCCCTGCCTTTCCTCTCCCCGCCTATGAGGGGGCAGAGGAAAGAGGAGACAGCCCAGGTTTGGTCTATGGCTGGTGACCAATGACGCACTCTCACCAATATAGATTTTGGAGGTGGAGACTATGGAAAAACAGGTGGCAGTGGGGGCAGGTGGCAGCCTGGAAGGGGTGGGGCCTACCAAGGGGGAGTGAAGGACAGTGTGGGTGGGGGTCCTGGGAAATCTCAAAAAGAAAAAAAATCAGTCTCCTGAAACTTTAAGGAGGAGTAAAAATAATCGGTTTCCAAAATGTGCTTCATAGAAGCAGTTCCACAAAAGGGGTGAAATGCCACCCATATTTTGATCTGTGCTGTGATCTTTGCACACCTATGGCCTCAACTCCACAGGGAAAGAGGAACCGAGCATTGATTTCAAGCACCCAAGGAAAGACCCAGACTAAAGACCCCAGGTCTCCGCCCCTGGGCAGTCTGGGGCAGTGGGCAGTTGGCAGGGCTTCAGCAGAATCAGATTTGCTGCCAACTCCTTGTATGACCTTGGACAGGCCTTTGCCATCTCTGGGCTTCAATGTCGCCATCTCTTAAATGAAGGGGTTGAATTCGACGACTCTAAGGGCCCCACGGTGATATTCCGTAGTTAAGATTGGGATGCGAGGGACAAGCTTCGGGCAAAAGGACACCCCCCCCCCAATCTTCAGAGTCCCTGGGCCCTGGCCGTCCTGCCAGGGACGTTCCCCCTCGGGACTTTAGGGCCCTTGGGCAGCGGGAGGGCGCGTCGGGGCCCAGGGCTCCGCCGTCTCCCAGCGCGGCCAAGCCAGCGACTCCGCCCCCGCGCTCTCCCCGCGTCCTGCCGGGCCATTAGCGCGATTGCTCGCCGTTCCCGGCAAAGCTGGTGATTTATGCGGGGCCTCGACGGGGCAGTCCCTGGAGCCAGGAACAATTAGCTAAAAGCCAGCGGGAAGGGAGGCGAGGCGGCGGCGCGCCAAGCCCCAGGGCGCCCTGCCGGGGCTGCAGCCGCCGGCCGCCCCGGGCCGAGCACCCCAGCCCCCCGACTTGGTGGGCCCCACTCACCACGGCGGGGGCGGGGCTCAAAGGCCGAGGCGAAAAGGCAGTCCAGGATCCACGCCATGACCCGCGCCGAGTGCCCGCCGCCTCGCAGCTGGCTTCCGCGCTGTCCCCGCACAGGGCCGCCCTAAGTAGCCCCCGGTGACCACGCCCTGAGCCGCACCCTGCACCCAGCTCGGAGTGTCTTGGTCACCGGACACCTCGGGCTTGTCACGAAGGGGGCAGGGCCTCAGGGGAGCCCCCCCCCCTCCCGCGGGAGGAGAGGCCGCGGATCCCGCAGCCCCTTCCCGCAGCCCCTTCCCCCACCCGGAGGGAGGCCAGGATGCAGCTCCTGTCCCAGGGAGCTCACTCTGAGGGCGGGACCCTGCCCCTACCCCGGGGAGCCCCGAGTCTGAGGGGAGACGCCACCTCAGCCCCGGTGAGCCCCGAATCTGAGTGGGAGGGGAGGTCTCTGCCCCCAGGAGCCCTTGATCGGGTGCATAAAAGCGGGCCTGCCCCCAGGAGCTGGAATTTGCAGGCGAGATGATGCACCTGTCCCAGGGAGCCTCAGATCTGAGGGGGGGCTGTATCCCAGCCCTACAAACCCCCACGTTTGCGGGGACACATCGTCTCAGTCCTCGGGAGACCCAGTCTAGGGGCGAAGCGGTGTCTGCCTCAGGAGCCATGAATCAGA